CAATAACTTTTATAAGTTAGATAGAGAGGAATTATAGTTTTGATTATTAACGTAAAGTAGACACAATAACTTTTATAAGTTAGATAGAGAGGAATTATAGTTTTGATTATTAACGTAAAGTAGACACAATAACTTTTATAAGTTAGATAGAGAAGAATTACAGTTTTGATTATTAACGTAAAGTAGACACAATAACTTTTATAAGTTAGATAGAGAAGAATTACAGTTTTGATTATTAACGTAAAGTAGACACAATAACTTTTATAAGTTAGATAGAGAAGAATTACAGTTTTGATTATTAACGTAAAGTAGACACAATAACTTTTATAAGTTAGATAGAGAAGAATTACAGTTTTGATTATTAACGTAAAGTAGACACAATAACTTTTATAAGTTAGATAGAGAAGAATTACAGTTTTGATTATTAACGTAAAGTAGACACAATAACTTTTATAAGTTAGATAGAGAAGAATTACAGTTTTGATTATTAACGTAAAGTAGACACAATAACTTTTATAAGTTAGATAGAGAAGAATTACAGTTTTGATTATTAACGTAAAGTAGACACAATAACTTTTATAAGTTAGATAGAGAAGAATTACAGTTTTGATTATTAACGTAAAGTAGACACAATGGAAAGATTAACTTCCGAGAAGATTATACATATTGAGAGTAAGTATATCTTGATTATAACGTCTTACCTATGTTCATCATATTGATAAATGCATGTTTAGTTTTTATATATATATTTATGATGGGCTGCGATAGGTTAAGGAAGATAACGGTTGTTTTTTAATGGAGTTTTGGTAATGTTGAGTCAGTGGTTCTGGAGATTTTTTGTCAGAGTTTTCCAGAATTTGGGCCCTTTATGTACACTTAATTTCTGAAGAGATTTAGCCTGACACAGGGAAAGTCATCCAACTAGGTATATTTATACACACAACGAAGAGTTCAATCCCCACCCATACCATGGTTTGATGAGTTGTGAGAGCTTTGCTGCTCCCTGAGCCCGGCCTTGGGTCAGGCTGGTGGCTAAAGCTCTCGTTTCAAACGGCAAGGGTCTGGGTTCGATTCCCAGCTAGGGTAGAAACATTAGGGATGTATTTCTTCACACAGGATGTCCCTGTCCACCCATCAGTAAAATGGGTACCTGGGTGTTAGTGGACTGGTGTGGGTCACATCCTGGGTGTTAGTGGACTGGTGTGGGTCACATCCTGGGTGTTAGTGGACTGGTGTGGGTGGCATCCTGGGTGTTAGTGGACTGGTGTGGGTGGCATCCTGGGTGTTAGTGGACTGGTGTGGGTGGCATCCTGGGTGTTAGTGGACTGGTGTGGGTGGCATCCTGGGTGTTAGTGGACTGGTGTGGGTGGCATCCTGGGTGTTAGTGGACTGGTGTGGGTGGCATCCTGGGTGTTAGTGGACTGGTGTGGGTGGCATCCTGTGTGTTAGTGGACTGGTGTGGGTCACATCCTGGGTGTTAGTGGACTGGTGTGGGTGGCATCCTGGGTGTTAGTGGACTGGTGTGGGTGGTATCCTGGGTGTTAGTGGACTGGTGTGGGTCACATCCTGGGTGTTAGTGGACTGGTGTGGGTCACATCCTGGGTGTTAGTGGACTGGTGTGGGTCACATCCTGGGTGTTAGTGGACTGGTGTGGGTGGTATCCTGGGTGTTAGTGGACTGGTGTGGGTCACATCCTGGGTGTTAGTGGACTGGTGTGGGTCACATCCTGGGTGTTAGTGGACTGGTGTGGGTCACATCCTGGGTGTTAGTGGACTGGTGTGGGTCACATCCTGGGTGTTAGTGGACTGGTGTGGGTCACATCCTGGGTGTTAGTGGACTGGTGTGGGTCACACCCTGGGACAAAACTGACCTAATTTGTGGGAAATGCTCAGCATAACAAGTGACTTTGTATATAGTAGTATGTCTGTATACCTTGTACATGTACTTGTATACCTTGTACATGTACTTGTATACCTTGTACATGTACTTGTATACCTTGTACATGTACTTGTAGTAAATAAGGATACATATTATTATTATTATTATTATTATGAAAGCTGTTAAAACTGTGTGAGACATAACCGTCCAGTGTGTTATTTTCTATGCAGATAACTGCCGTGTGAACTGAAACACCAAGTTGGACCGAGGCGTCGTCGTAAGCTTCTCTCTTTTATGTGCGGGTTATTTGTGTATCGTTCCAGTCACGGTATTGTGCCTTTTTTTGTTATTTAGTGTATTTATAAGTTGAAACACCAGCAGTGCAACCTGTTTGCAAGCTCGGACCTCTTGAACAAGGACGATTGCTAGCCCATTCTGCTCACACACTGAGGTCTGGGGGTTCATCCCTTGTATGGGTGGAAACACTAGGACCGTGTTATTCACTAATTTTTGCAAGAGAGCCACGTCGGTTAAACACAATGATTGAGAGAGCCGCAGCTACTGCAAATTAGCGTAACTCAACTAAATTAAGTAGTACTGAGCTGCTAGTGAAATATAGTAAAAGAAAAATTAGACATGGTAATATTAGCCTGCATATCTTGTTATTGGCAGCTCGCGAGCCGCACAATGAATACCATTGCACTAGGACGTGGTCCTTTAAAACACCTGCTGTCCATGTTCACCTATCAGTAAAATAGGTACCTTGGTGTTAGGTGACTAGTGTGAGAGGCATCCTGGGAACAAAATTGACCTTTTTTGTCCAAGGTGGTCTGCATAACCAGGGGCTTGCTATGTAGTAGTATGTCATTGATGTCAGCTATGGTCTGTATATTAGACACATGTGTAACACTTGCGTATCTTTACTGAGGAAATGTTTCACCACACAGTGATTTCATCAGTCCTAAACAAAGAAGAATGGTGAAGATCAGAAGGAGTTTGAGGTAATCTGTCCCTCAGCCTGGAGTGGATGTAATCAGTCCATCAATCTTGAAAAGAATATAGCATATGCAGGAAGAAGTGGCTGATATATTGTAGACAGGTGAGGTGAAGCAGTCGTAGGTGGTATCACAGTGGGCAAATTCACATGTGGAAGTAGGTCATGACTATAGGTTAGACAAGATATTGCTGTGTCTGACAGGAATGTAGATAAGTGGTTCAGAGAACTGACAAGTTGATAAATTAGACACACGTGCAACACTTGAGGGGTCTTTATTGAGGAAACATTTCGCCACACAGTGACTTCATCTTAGGATCTTAATACAGGGAATTCTTCACTTGTCTTACCTATAGTCATGACTTACTTCCACACGTGGATTTGCCCACTGTGATACCACCTACGACTGCTTCACCTCACCTGTCTACAGTATAAAAGCCACTTCTTCCCTCATATGCTGTATTCTTTTCAAGACTGATGGACTGATTACATTGACTCCAGGCTGAGGGACTAATTACCTCAAAGTCCTTCTGATCTTCACCATTCTCCTTTATATATAGGACTGATGAAGCCACTGTGTGGCGAAACGTTTCCTCAATAAAGATACCCAAGAGTTGCACATGTGTCTAATTTATCAACATGTCGGTTCTGTGAACCATTCATCTACATGGTCTGTATACCTTGTACATGTACTGGTAGAAATAAAGATTATTATTATTAATTTATTTGTAAGTCTGAGCACCAGCAGTTTAACACGTTCATAAGCTAGGATCTCCTGAATATAGTGATACAACAATAATCTAATATATAATACACCTACCATCCGACTTACGACCTGCTCGACTTACGACCGTGTTTTTTTTATGCCAAATTTCTGGGAAATAAACAACTATTTGTGTTGTACACAGTGTTTATCCTAAACCTTACAGTATAAAATACAACTAACAGCATAAAAAGTAAAGTAAAACATGAAATACCAAATAAAACAATAATATAAAGTCATTACAAAAATGTTTTGTTGATATTCAGTAGTAAAATTCGACTTACGACCGGTTTCTCGGAACCGAACTCAGTCATAAGTCGGATGGTAGGTGTATGTTGTTAGCATTGTTACTCTTCACCTGGACTCTAGCAACAAGGATGATCATTCTATATGTCACTATACTGTATTAACCCTTTGAGGGTTTTCGTCGTACTAGTACGTCTTACGCGTAGGGGTTTTTGACGTACTAGTACGCATAAATTCTAGCGGCCTCAAATCTAGTGGGAGAAAGCTGGTAGGCCTTCATATGAAAGAATGGGTCTATGTGGTCAGTGTGCACAGTCTAAAAAAAATCCTGCAGCACACAGTGCATAATGAGAAAAAAAAACTTTGACCATTTTTTTGGAATAAATCAGCGACTTTGCAGTGTATTTTCGTATGGTATTTATTGTTGTATTCTAGTTTTCTTGGTCTTATTTTATAGAATGGAAGACATATTACAGAAATTGAGATGATTTTGGCTGGTTTTACAATGAAAGGTGCCTTGAAATTGAGCTCAAAGTAGCAGAAATGTTCGATTTTTACCAAACTTCAAAAGTAAACAAATCGTGCCAAGCGTGCAATACACGTCAACTGGTGAGTCTAATATTCTTTCACAAGTGCACCAATAATATTTATACCATTTTTTACACTAATGCAGTAGTCTGCATAACAGTAAATCTTATATTTTTTGTGAGAATAAAAATTCAAAATGGAAAGCAAAAGAATATAAGAGAGGCCTTGAGACGTGACTAATGACTAGAGGAAATGTCATTTTAGTGCCAGGAATGTCTTTCTTGTTTATTCTGGACCCTATTCGGAAATTGGCATCTTTTGAAATTTGTGTGAAATTGGCAAAATTGCTAAATTCTGACCACTGTACTGGATAGTTGAATTTCATAAATGGGTAGTTTCTTGCACCCATTCGATAGAAAAAATGGAGTTCTAGCGAAATATTCATGTTTTTTGTCGACTAGTACAGCGAAATTGGCCGAAAATGGGGCTCAAAGTGGGCAAAATCGCCGATGCGTAAACATCGCCGAGACCGCTAACTTTGCGAGAGCATAATTTCGTAAGTTTTCTATCAAATTTCAAACTTTTGGTGTCTTTATGATTGGGAAAAGATTCTCTATCTTTTCATAAGAGAAAATAATTTTTTTTTTTTTTTAAATTTGGCCGACCCTGAGAACGAGTTTCGGAGAGGGCCTGTCGACCCTCAAAGGGTTAATCTATGAGATCACTTATTCAGTTATATGAGGTGCTTTCAGAAAGTTCCTGGACTCAAATTTTTGCATGTTCTTGGGAGACGTAAGGTGGCAGCATAGATCACATTATGCAATAAACTCCTTTATGAACTAGCACGGTGAGTTGCAGTGAGGTCGGTCATTCTGCTAAGGCTGGACCAGCATTATCGTCATGTCAACACACTGTTTTGATTTTCTGTGTAACAGAACGAAATCTTTAAAAGAGAGAACAGCACGTGTATACAGTTCTGCTTCAAGCTTGGTAAAATGAAAAGCAAAAGTCACAAAAAGCTTCGGCAAATGTTGGTTGCCGAGTCACCACATGGACAGTATGGAGAAGGTTCAAGCAGACTCACAGGTTGTGCTAGACACCGCTACAAAATGAGTTCCAGAAATGTTAAGAAGTGTTAAAAACTGTAGTGTTAATCACCCTTCTGGCACGGCAGTGATGGAGTGAATGATGGTGAAAGTTTTTCTTTTTCGGGCCACCCTGCCTTGGTGGGAATCGGCCAGTGTGTTAATAATAAAATAAAATAAGTGGCCGAGGTACCGGGATCAGTGCATAACTTCTAAAGGTGTTGGGATCAATGTAAGCCTATAGATTTTTTCACAACAGGCCAGAAAACATTTTGAAAGCACCTCAGATGTCTCAATAGTGCACAGCAGTTACTGTATCTGTTATAAATTAATAAAGTGCAGTGGTACCTCGGAATACGAACAGGTCAAAACTCGAACAATTATGTAAGTGTATTTATGTAAGTGATTTTGTAAGTGTGCTTTTGGGGTCTGAAACGAATTAATCTAATTTACAATATTCCTTATATGAACAAATTCGTTCAGTAACGGCACTCGAACAGTCTTCTGGAATGAATTAAGGCCGAAATTCGAAGTACCACTGTATATGATTATCAAGAATGAATAATTAAATTATTATACATTATGATCCCTCAAGGAAGGTTCCTTGATGTTGGTGAGGGGCTCTTGATTTAGGGAATTGGATCTCTGCTCCAGTTCCCCAAATTAAGCCTGAATGCCTTCCATATCCCCCCCAGGTGCTGTATAATCCTACAGGTTTAGCGCTTCCCCTTGATTATAATAATAATATACATTATGAGTATAACACAAGCTATGGTTACTGACTTATGGTCGCTGGCATTGAAGAAGCGATGGGCATGCTCGGGGGCAGAATCTTCTGGCCCATGAGGTGCTGGGTAGCTCAGCACCAGCAGCATGGGTGGAGGTGAGTCCTGGGCCTTGTTCTTCTCCAGAAACTGGATGCCCTCGTTGGTGATCACATGTGGGTAATAATCCTGTGAAAGAGAATACTTTCTAAATTGTGTGTCAGTTTCATTTCCATTTTAATCCATCTCACATCCTATGTTACCAATGTAAACACAATTACAAACTTAAAAATATATGTTTGCATCATATATTGTACTACCTCATATTAATAATAGAGTAAGATATTGAACATTTGTAATCTACCACTCTAGACTTAATTACACAACCCGCACGTGGAAGAGAGGAGCTTACGATGACGTTTTGCTCCGACTTGAGCCACTTACAAAGTTACACTCTCTTCTATATGCGGGTTATTTGTGTATTGTTCCAGTCACGGTATTGTGCCTTTATTTGTGATTTTTAGACTTAAGTAGTCTTTTAGTATTAAGTTAAGTCTTCCCAAAATGCCTCAGCATGATAGTGACTTTCTTAGTACCAGTCGAATTATGAAATGTAAACACATTGTAACCTTGCCACAAAAATATTTTTTTTATTATTAGCTTAGTAATAAATATTATTAACCCTTTACTGTGCGGTGCCTCAATATTGAGGCACCAAAAGCATAATACTAATTACAGAGGGGGCCACTAGGACACCTAGCATGGCTAGGCATTTCGAGCAGACTTAAATTAATTCTTAACATTAAATCCTTACATTAAATATATATTGCTAAGCTATTATTATTATTATTATAAACTGCTGAAAGAAATAAACTCTGCACTTAACCAAGGATGGATCTACGTACTATGAAACTAATGAGGCTTAAGCTTGAGGGTCCTTAATCCAGGAGAGGCCCCAGAAATGACTTTAGTCCATATTACTTAAAAATATTGAGTCTGTTGTATGGGAATGGTTATTTTAAAATTAATAATATAATGTAAATCAATACAAAATAATGGTTAAATAATTTAAAAGTTCTTAATGTATCACATAGGCCTGGCCAATGCTGGTTAGGAAGGCGACCCCATAACAGTTCAAGCTTCAGGGACCCAAAAATTTAGGTTCGCCACTGCGCTTAACAATAAACGTTTATTGTTCCCTCAATGGAACAATAAAACAGGAAGTTTAACACAAATATCACCATATTGTACAAGGATGGCAGACAATACCGAGAAGATGAAAATTAGATACGTGCAACATCTGGGTATCTTTATTGTAGACGTTTTGCCATCTTTTGTATATAGTTCTTCTGTCTTCCATACAAGAGAGCAAAAAAGTAATGTGAAGAACCTGGGAGTGATAACGTTAGAGGATGTTGCCTTCAAAGATCACAGCAACGTATCTACCACATCTGCTAGGGAAATGATAGGATGGATAATGAGAACCTTCAAAACTAGGGATGCCAAGCCCATGATGAATGTCTTTAAATTTCTGTTCTTGCTAGGCTGGAATACTGCTGTACACTAACTGCCCCCTTCAAGGCTGGCGAAATTGCTGACCTGGAGAGTGTACAAAGAACTTTCATGGCACACATATGTACGATAAAACACCTAAATTACTGGGAATGGTTGAAGACTCTTGATATGTATTCCCTGGAGTGCAGGCGAGAGAGATACATAATAATATACACTTGGAAAATCCTAGAGGGATTAGTACCAAACTTGCACAAGAAAATCATTCCCTATGAAAGCAAAAGACTGGGCAGGAGATGAAAGATTTCCCCAATGAAAAGCATTGGCACCACGAATACACTGAGAGACAACATAATAAGTGTCTGGGGTCCAAGACAGTTCAACTGCCTCCCAGCATACATAAGTGGGATTACCATCAGACCCCTGGCTGTCTTCAAGAAGGCACTGGACAAGCTCCTAAAGTCAGTACCTGACCAGCCGGGCTGTGGTTCGTACGTCATTTTGTGTGTGGCCAAAAATAACAGCCTGGTTGATCATACTCTGTGTACTACCTCACAATTGTAAATCTATTTAATCACTACAGTTACCTAACTTTAACATTAGTATGCTCCATAACCTGTATCAATATAGAGTAAGAATTAGTATTAGTCTGCCCAAAATGCCTAGGCCTACTAGTGGCCTTCTTTGTAAATAAAATATTGTATGTAAACCCCACAATTGTGATCTTTATTTACACTCACAGTTGCTGCTAGTTTAACATTGTCTGCTACCATACTACTGCTATATTATGATAAGAATTACTATTAGTCCTGCCACAAAATGCCTAGCCTACTATGGCTCTTTTGTAAATTACAATTGTTGTAACCCACATTTGAATCCTTTACAGAAAAATAAACATTACCATCACTGGTGCTGTCTAGTGATGACACTTGTCCTGTTTCCTGACAAACATTACCTAACTTGTCCTGTTTCCTGACAAACATTACCTAACTTGTCCTGTTTCCTGACAAACATTACCTAACTTGTCCTGTTTCCTGACAAACATTACCTAACTTGTCCTGTTTCCTGACAAACTAATTAACCTAACTTGTCCTGTTCCTGACAAACAATTACCTAACTTGTCCTTTTCCTGACAAACATACCTAACTTGTCCTGTTCCTGACCAAAACATAACGTAACCTATACCTAATTCTACCTAACCTAACCTAATATAACGTTACCTAGCCTAATGTTACTTAACTAATCTAACCTAACCTAACCTAACCTGACCTACCCTAACCTAAAGTTACCTAACCTAACCTGACCTGACCTAACCTAACCTAACCTAACTTGACCTACCCTAACCTAAAGTTACCTAACCTAACCTAACCTGACCTGACCTGACCTGACCTGACCTGACCTAACCTAATCTAACCTAATCTAACCTAACTTAACCTAACCTGACCTAACCTAGCCTAATGTTACCTAACCTAACCTAACTTAACCTAACCTAACTTGACTTAACCTAACCTTACCTAACCTACCTAACCTAACTCAACTTAACTTAACCTAACCTTACCTAGCTTAACCTAACCTAAACCAATGGCCTAAGTTGGTTTGAAACATGGTCATTTATTCTCCCATGCGCAGGTTATTTGGAAATTGTTCCAATCACATTACTATGCATTTTTATTCTTCACCTGTAATGCTTATTGTACTTAATACATGTAATGTTTATTGCCCGTGTAGGCTTAAATTAGGCTTACACTTGCCAGAAATTCTCTATATGACCTTGGGCTTTCTCTGTGCACTCAACTGTCACCCATTTTTGTATAAATATTGTATCATGTGGAAATAAACTATAATTTGAATCAGAATTAGTGTTACAATGTTACCAATGGTCCTGGGTACAGTACAGCAAGGTCTTGCAATGTATTCCTAGGTTTTGCATGTTAAATTGAGTTTGTCTCATGCACTTGCAATTAACCCGTAAACGGTTCAAGCAGATCTACGTTCACATGTGTTGTGCTACAGAAGATCTAAGTTTTTTTTACAAATTTTCAAATAGAACAAAAAAAAAAATAGATCAAAGTTTTTTTTACACATTTTCAAATGTAAAAAAAAAAAAAGAAGATCTACTTTTTTTACATACTTTCAAATGTTGAAAAAACGTACATATACGTTTGGACCGTTTACGGGTTAAACTAAATAATATGAGTGAGTATTTTGTATGTTAAGCAGGTTCAAGTTCTTAAATAGCGGTGGGGTGTGTTGCCTGGCGTAGCAGTTTGTAATCAATCTCACGGCAGCTTTTTGTTGCATTATTAACCCATAAACGGTCCAGAAGAGAGAGATAAGATTAGATAAGATTTTGTTCGGATTTTTAACCCCGGAGGGTTAGCCACCCAGGATAACCCAAGAAAGTCAGTGCGTCATCGAGGACTGTCTAATTTATTTCCATTGGGGTCCTTAATCTTGTCCCCCAGGATGCGACCCACACCAGTCGACTAACACCCAGGTACCTATTTGCTGCTAGGTGAACAGGACAACAGGTGTAAGGAAACATGTCGAATGTTTCCACCCGCCGGGAATCGAACCCGGGCCCTCCGTGTGTGAAGCGGGAGCTTTAGCCACCAGGCCACCGGGCCACCAAACGTATATATACGTTTGGACCGTTTACGGGTTAATGCTACATGGGTCAGGAACACACTTATCGCATGCTGCCTGAAATGCCTTGCTCAACTAGTGTCTATAAAGTGGATACAGTGGTACCTCGGTATGCGACCTTAATTCATTCCAGAAGGATGTTCACGAGTCGATCTGTTCGAGTACCAAATGAATTTGTTCCCATAAGGAATAACGTAAAGTAGATGAATCCATTTCAGACCCCCAAAAATACACTTACAAAAGCACTTACAATAATACACTTACATAATTGTTCGAGTTGGGAGCTTGTCATATACCGAGGTACCACTGTATATGTCAGTCATTTTAATTGTATAATATACTGTATGCCACTTTAAAGGAATAAAGTTCATTATTTGTTCTATTTGTAAAGCAATGTGCTTTGTTATGCATACACTATAAAGTTGCTGAAATATCTATGTACATTTCACATATTATAACACTATGCCAAATATTTTTATGGTAGATGAGGCACCATGAGCAAGGTTCCACTCCTGTACCCCTCAAGGAAGGTTCCTTGATGTTGGTGAGGGGCTCTTGATTTAGGAAATTGGATCTGTGCTCCAGTTCCCTGAATTAAGCCTGAATGCCTTCCACATCCCCCCCCCTAGGCGCTGTATAATCCTCCGGGTTTAGCGCTTCCCCCTTGATTATAATAATAATAATCCACTCCTGTAATATTAATAACTATAGATCTTTCCTTCAGCACATCAGCCATCTAGGCAAAGCGGCCCAAAAGGAAAAACAAAAGTTTTTATTATACATTTAGTAATGTATACAGGAGAAGAGCTTACTAGCCCCTTGCTCCAGTCATTTTAGTCGCCTCTTACAACATGCATGGCTTACGGAGGAAGAATTCTGTTCCACTTCCTCATGGAGATAACTATAGCTATGGTAAGAAATTACGAAACGCTTTGGGAGGAAGAAACTAACAAGGGAAGACACATGAAAGTCTACATTCTCCTGGTAATAATAAAGCCCAGTAGGGATACTTTGCTGAACAAAACATGAATGTTGACACAATGTCAGGTGCAAAGAAATAGAATACATATACAGTGGACCCCCGGTTTACGATATTATTTCATTCCAGAAGTATGTTCAGGTGCCAGTACTGAACGAATTTGTTCCCATAAGGAATATTGTGAATTAGATTAGTCCATTTCAGACCTCCAAACATACACGTACAAACGCACTTACATAAATACACTTACATAATTGGTCGCATTGGGAGCTGATCGTAAAGTGGGGGTCAACTGTTTATATATATATATTTTTATTAACACACTGGCCATTTCCCACCAAGGCAGGGTGGTCCAAAAAAGAAAAACGTTCATCATCATTCACTCTATCACTGTCTTGCCAGAAACATGCCTACACTACAGTTATAAAACTGCAACATTAACACCCCTCATTCAGAGTGCCGGCACTGTACTTCCCATCTCCAGGACTCAAGTCCATCCCGCTGGTTTCTCTGAATCCCTTCATAAATATTACCTTGCTTACACTCCAATAGCATGTGTTGGAAAAACAGTATAAACATGATAAGACTTTTTTCAAGTATACAAAAAACAAAAAAAATGGTTAGAACCCACTGTAATCAGGTAAGAAGTGTGACTGACCTTCGGATAATGGTCACCATACTTGATGAAGTGGCCATTGCGCTGAACAGTATAATTGTAGTAGCGGGAGTTCTTGATGAGGCCAGACCACTCCTGCCAGCCAGCTGGGATGTGCGAGCCATTGTACTTGTTGAGGTACTTGCCGAAGTAACCTGCCAAGGGAAAGGAATACTCTTACTGTTTTAAGTAGGGCATGTGTAACAGTTGTGTTTATTTCCAGTGCTCCCCTTTTTTCTTATTCTTAAATTATCTCCACCGTGGCCCGGTGGCCTGGTGGCTAAAGCTCCCGCTTCACACACGGAGGGCCCGGGTTCGATTCCCGGCCGGTGGAAACATTTCGACACGTTTCCTTTCAGTATTGTCCTGTTCACCTAGCAGCAAATAGGTACCTGGGTGTTAGATGACTGGTGTGAGTCGCACCCTGGGGGGCAAGATTGAGGACCCCAATGGAAATAAGTTAGACAGTCCTCGATGACGCACTGACTTTCTTGGGTTATCCTGGGTGGCTAACCCTCCGGGGTTAAAAATCCGAATGAAATCTTATCTTATCTTGTCACTGCTACTAACACCACTATTTCTTTGCTAACACTCCACTCTATGACCCTTTTTTTCATTATCACTACTACGTTTTTATTGCCACCTCTACCACTTTTGAACTTCTACTACTACTACTACTACTACTCTCGTTCTCCCACTCGCATCCCCTCCCACTCTCGTATATTTAATGGCTCCCTTCCCTTTGTGCATCTTTACGACCAATTAATGTTCAAAGTTAGACCAAAATGCAGTCGTAAGTTTCCATCTCCTGTGTGTGTGTTATCTGTGTATTGCTGCAGTTACAGGAGGGAAGAATGTGATACTATTAGATGTCATTTTACACTCATCCATAGGGATTACTGTATTTGCTGCACATTGTATTCATTTTTTCTTGATGTTTTGACCAGCATAGCATTGCACTTCACCAGTCAGAACCATGTAAAGTGTAGCATGTAAAGAGTATGTTACAATTTATTTGGCATATGTCGCACTCCCATATAGGCTGCCTCCCAATAAGTGAACCGGGTGCTAAGGGTTTAATGATCAATAAGGTACCCGCCATTAAATCAGCAGAGTGGAACCCTGAGTTTCAGCTGTAATCCGTTCCAGGAGCTAGACCTAAAGTCGAAATGGCCTAAAGTCGAAACGGCCTAAAGTCGAAACGGCCTAAAGTCGAAATGGCCTAAAGTTGAAATGTCCTAAAGTCGAAACTGCCTAAAGTCGAAGCAATATTTCCCATGAGAAATAATGTAAAGCCAATTAATCCGTTCTACCCAAAAAATATTCACAAAATATTCACAAAATTTTCTGTATATTTTACATACAGAAAATAATGAGAAATAAATATAAAGCATTAATTTTAATGGATAAATGAACAGTTAAATGAGTTTTACCTTTATTGATGACTCTTGTTGGCGTATGAGAGGCAGGACAAGACAGTTCTTCAATATGACACTAATATCAACTCTACGGCATATTTATCTATCATAATTCATCTAATATGGTGTAATAAACAATATTAATAACATATTATTATAATAAAAGGGAAGCACTAAACCACAAGGGCTATACAGCACTGCAGGGCAGGAAGGAAACGAGGGTATATTAATAACATAGAAACATGATATATACTCTAGAATAAAATATGGTATTAAAAATGTCATGAGTGGTGGTATGTTGTTTCTTGTTAGGTGTATAAGGGCCACTGAAAGATAAACCTTACATAGTGGTGATGATGGCGGCAATGTTGTTGTCAAGTGGCCCTATGTAACTCCAATGACAATGGAGGAGTCAGTTTCATGCTGTGCTTTTTCTATCGATTAATCGCTTAACTTACTTGCTACACTGTTACTGCTACACTTTATCGCTGACTGGCGCTGTAGCCTCTATCGACTCATGCTGCTTTAGTATTGTACATATCACAGAATCACTGAAGAAGGCACCTTCTCCCCTCTCTCTTCCTCCTTCACTTTGGTGCTTTGCTACAATTTCTTTCTTCAATTCTATTGTGTTTCTCACTTTCTTTACCAAAGGACTGACACTGTGAAGTTTCTTTGGGCCCATGGTGGCTTATTTCACAGTCACAATCAATAAACAAGCACTAAACACAAGGAATTTATTGTGAAACGTTTGGATGAGCATGCAGGGTAATGTTCACTCAAGGATAAACAAAGCTAGTCTGGCTCACAACACCTGTGTGGGCAGGCACGCAGGCACAGGCAGGTGGACAGGTCTGGTATGCTGGATGAAACGCAGGGTACAGGCTGAAACTCACAACAAAATTTAGCCAAAAAAAGCAGTCGAAACTCAAAGCGGTCGAAACTCGGAGTTTCACTGTATTATTGTTATTACTATTACGTACATTTAATGTAAGTGTTTACTTTCCTTACTGGAAAATAAGGCCACTGCTTATGTTCATTGTTACGTTTATACTTTCAGTTATTACTATGAGTGCTTTTGTACTACAGTGGTTCCTCAGCTAACGATGGCATCAGCTAACGTTAAATCCAGCTAACGATACATTTTAAAGCAAAAATTTTGCCTCAGTTAACGCTAAAAAACTCACCCAACGCGATTCATTCAAGATGCGTCCACGTGTGGCCTGAGCGTGCCTCAGTTGTCCCATGGGTACCAGTGTTTACAAGCCAGCCAGTGCAGTCGCATCCATGCATACAATCAGAACATTTCATATTATCACAGCATTTTTTAGTGATTGTACCTGCATACATATTTTAAGAAAAAGAGGATAAATAAGTATACACGATATGATGTAGGGCGAAATGACAGTAGTTTGTTGGATTATGTATTGGTAGATAAAAGATTGTTGAGTAGACTTCAGGATGTACATGTTTATAGAGGGGCCACAGATATATCAGATCACTTTCTAGTTGTAGCTACACTGAGAGTAAAAGGTAGATGGGATACAAGGAGAATAGAAGCATCAGGGAAGAGAGAGGTGAAGGTTTATAAACTAAAAGAGGAGGCAGTTAGGGTAAGATATAAACAGCTATTGGAGGATAGATGGGCTAATGAGAGCATAGGCAATGGGGTCGAAGAGGTATGGGGTAGGTTTAAAAATGTAGTGTTAGAGTGTTCAGCAGAAGTTTGTGGTTACAGGAAAGTGGGTGCAGGAGGGAAGAGGAGCGATTGGTGGAATGATGATGTAAAGAGAGTAGTAAGGGAGAAAAAGTTAGCATATGAGAAGTTTTTACAAAGTAGAAGTGATGCAAGGAGGGAAGAGTATATGGAGAAAAAGAGAGAGGTTAAGAGAGTGGTGAAGCAATGTAAAAAGAAGCAAATGAGAGAGTGGGTGAGATGTTATCAACAAATTTTGTTGAAAATAAGAAAAAGTTTTGGAGTGAGATTAACAAGTTAAGAAAGCCTAGAGAACAAATGGATTTGTCAGTTAAAAATAGGAGAGGAGAGTTATTAAATGGAGATTTAGAGGTATTGGGAAGATGGAAGGAATATTTTGAGGAATTGTTAAATGTTGATGAAGATAGGGAAGCTGTGATTTCGTGTATAGGGCAAGGAGGAATAACATCTTGTAGGAGTGAGGAAGAGCCAGTTGTGAGTGTGGGGGAAGTTCGTGAGGCAGTAGGTAAAATGAAAGGGGGTAAGGCAGCCGGGATTGATGGGATAAAGATAGAAATGTTAAAAGCAGGTGGGGATATAGTTTTGGAGTGGTTGGTGCAATTATTTAATAAATGTATGGAAGAGGGTAAGGTACCTAGGGATTGGCAGAGAGCATGCATAGTTCCTTTGTATAAAGGCAAAGGGGATAAAAGAGAGTGCAAAAATTATAGGGGATAAGTCTGTTGAGTGTACCTGGTAAAGTGTATGGTAGAGTTATAATTGAAAGAATTAAGAGTAAGACGGAGAATAGGATAGCAGATGAACAAGGAGGCTTTAGGAAAGGTAGGGGTGTGTGGACCAGGTGTTTACAGTGAAACATATAAGTGAACAGTATTTAGATAAGGCTAAAGAGGTCTTTGTGGCATTTATGGATTTGGAAAAGGCGTATGACAGGGTGGATAGGGGGGCAATGTGGCAGATGTTGCAAGTGTATGGTGTAGGAGGTAGGTTACTGAAAGCAGTGAAGAGTTTTTACGAGGATAGTGAGGCTCAAGTTAGAGTATGTAGGGAAGAGGGAAATTTTTTCCCAGTAAAAGTAGGCCTTAGACAAGGATGTGTGATGTCACCGTGGTTGTTTAATATATTTATAGATGGGGTTGTAAGAGAAGTAAATGCGAGGGTCTTGGCAAGAGGCGTGGAGTTAAAAGATAAAGAATCACACACAAAGTGGGAATTGTCACAGCTGCTCTTTGCTGATGACACTGTGCTCTTGGGAGATTCTGAAGAGAAGTTGCAGAGATTGGTGGATGAATTTGGTAGGGTGTGCAAAAGAAGAAAATTAAAGGTGAATACAGGAAAGAGTAAGGTTATGAGGATAACAAAAAGATTAGGTGATGAAAGATTGAATATCAGATTGGAGGGAGAGAGTATGGAGGAGGTGAACGTATTCAGATATTTGGGAGTGGACGTGTCAGCGGATGGGTCTATGAAAGATGAGGTGAATCATAGAATTGATGAGGGAAAAAGAGTGAGTGGTGCACTTAGGAGTCTGTGGAGACAAAGAACTTTGTCCTTGGAGGCAAAGAGGGGAATGTATGAGAGTATAGTTTTACCAACGCTCTTATATGGGTGTGAAGCGTGGGTGATGAATGTTGCAGCGAGGAGAAGGCTGGAGGCAGTGGAGATGTCATGTCTGAGGGCAATGTGTGGTGTGAATATAATGCAGAGAATTCGTAGTTTGGAAGTTAGGAGGAGGTGCGGGATTACCAAAACTGTTGTCCAGAGGGCTGAGGAAGGGTTGTTGAGGTGGTTCGGACATGTAGAGAGAATGGAGCGAAACAGAATGACTTCAAGAGTGTATCAGTCTGTAGTGGAAGGAAGGCGGGGTAGGGGTCGGCCTAGGAAGGGTTGGAGGGAGGGGGTAAAGGAGGTTTTGTGTGCGAGGGGCTTGGACTTCCAGCAGGCATGCGTGAGCGTGTTTGATAGGAGTGAATGGAGACAAATGGTTTTTAATACTTGACGTGCTGTTGGAGTGTGAGCAAAGTAACATTTATGAAGGGATTCAGGGAAACCGGCAGGCCGGACTTGAGTCCTGGAGATGGGAAGTACAGTGCCTGCACTCTGAAGGAGGGGTGTTAATGTTGCAGTTTAAAAACTGTAGTGTAAAGCACCCTTCTGGCAAGACAGTGATGGAGTGAATGATGGTGAAAGTTTTTCTTTTTCGGGCCACCCTGCCTTGGTGGGAATCGGCCGGTGTGATAATAAAAAAAAAAAAAAACTGCAAAATAAGTCACCATGGGCCCCAAGAAAGCTTCTAGTGCCAACCCTGCAGGAAAAAGGGTGAGAATTACTATGGATATGAAGAAAGAGATAATTGCTAAGTATGAAAGTGGAGTGCGTGTCTCCGAGCTGGCCAGGTTGTATACCAAACCCCAATCAATCCTCGCTACTATTGTGGCCAAGAAAACGACAATCAAGGAAGCTGTTCTTGCAAAGGGTGCAACTTTGTTTTCGAATAAGAGATCGCAATTGATAGAAGATGCTGAGAGACTGTTATTGGTGACAGCATCTCTCAAGTGATCATATGTGAAAAGGCTAGGAAGTTGCATGAGGATTTAATTAGAAAAATGCCTGCAACTAGTGGTGGTGTGAGTGAATTTAGGGCCAGCAAAGGTTGGTTTGAGACATTTAAGAATCATAGTGGCATACATAGTCTGATAAGGCATGGTGAGGCTGCCAGTTCGGACCAAAAAGTGGCTGAAAAATATGTGAAGGTATTCAAGGATTACATAGAGAGTGAAGACTTGAAACTTGATCAAGTGTTTAATTGCGATGAAACAGGCCTGTTTTGGAAGAAAATGCCAAGCAGTACCTACATTACTCAGGAGGAAAAGGCACTCCCAGGACATAAGCCTATGAAAGACAGGCTTACTCTCTTGATGTGTGCTAATGCTAGTGGTGATTGCAAAGTGAAGCCTTTATTGGTGTATCACTCTGAAACTCCCAGAGTGTTCAGGAGAAACAATATCCTCAAGGCTAATTTGTGTGTGATGTGGGGGGCAAACAGTAAGGCATGGGTCACTAGAGACCTTTTCTATGACTGGTTACACCATGCATTTGCCCCCACTGTGAAAAATTACCTCCTGGAAAATAAATTGGACCTTAAGTCCCTTCTGGTATTAGACAATGCCCCTGGTCATCCTTCAGACTTGGCAGAGCGACTTTCTGGGGACATGAGCTTCATTAAGGTCAAGTTTTTGCCTCCTAATACCACTCCTCTCCTGCAGCCCATGGACCAGCAGGCCATTTCAAACTCTACACTAAAGCTATGTTTCAAAAATGCTTTGTAGTGACCACAGACACTCGACTGACTCTAAGAGAGTTTTGGAGAGATCACTTTAGCATCCTCAAGGCTTGGGAGGGAGTGACTAAGAGGATCTTGAACTCTGCTTGGAAGAAACTTTGGCCAGAATGTGTAGACAAAAGGGATTTTGAAGGGTTTGAGGCTAACCCTGAGAAGTGGAAGTCCTTAGGGTTGGAGGTCAGTGGAGAGGATGTGGAAGAGTTGGTGGAGGAGGACAATGAAGAACTAACCACTGATGAGCTGCAAGATCATCTTCAACAGCAAGAGGCCAGACCTGAGGAAACTGCTTCGGAGGAGGGGATAGAAAAATTGAAGAAGTTGCCTACTTCAAAGATTAAGGAAATGTGTGCAAAGTGGCTTAAAGTGCAAACCTTTTTTGATGAAAATCACCCTCACACAGCTATTGCAAGCCGTGCTGGTGACTATTACACTGACAATGTTGTGAACCACTTTAAGAAAGTCATAAAGGAACGGGAGGTACAGGCCTCTATGGACAGATATGTTGTGCGACAGAAGTCCAGTCACTCCCAAGCTGGTCCTAGGGGCATTAAAAGAAGAAGGGAAGTAACCCCAGAAAAGAACTTGATACCTCAAGTCCTAATGGAAGGGGATTCCCCTTCTAAACCTTAACAACTTCCACACTCTCCCCTCCTCCCATCCCATCAATCATCACCAGATCTTCAATAAAGGCAAGTGTCAGTTTGTGTGTATTAAAATTAATATTTCATGTTGTAAAATTTTTTTTCTTTCATACTTTGGGTTGTCTTGCACAGATTAATTTGATTTCCATTATTTCTTATGGGGAAAATAAATTCAGCTAACGATGAGCTTTCAGGAACGGATTAATATCGTTAGCTGAGGGTCCACTGTATTTCCGATAGGTGTCGTAATGAGTGAAATAAAACTTGGAAGTGTCATCAAAGTGTTTCATCTAGTAAATACAACTTAATAACCACTGTGAATATCAAAATGGTATACAATACTGAGAACTTGGTAAGTAAGACACATAGGCAACATTTTTATTCCGAAACATTTTGCCTACACAGTAGGCTTTTTCAGTCGAGTCCAGAAAGTAGGCAGAAGCAGTAGAGATGTGAAGATGATTACATCATCTTCACATCTCCCTTGAAGATGTAGATTTGAGGTTGTCAGTCCCTCAGCCTGGAGAAGAATTCTGTTCCAAGTCTGAAACATCATTTCAGACTTTGGAATAAAGATGCCTAAATCTTGCCTATGTGTTTTACTTACCAATTTAATAACCACTAATGAAACTTGTGCTAAACAGAGTTAATTTCTGTAGATGAATGGTTCAGAGAACCGACATGTTGATAAATTAGACACATGTGCAACTCTTGGGTATCTTTATTGAGGAAACGTTTCGCCACACAGTGGCTTCATCAGTCCATACAAAGGAGAATCTTGAAGAACAGGAGGAGAATGAGGTAATCAGTTGTGATGAATGGTTTGAAAAACCGACAAGTTGAAGATTGAGACACTTATGCAGCATATGGAAATCTTTATTCAGGAAACGTTTCGCCACACAGTGGCTTCATCAGTCCAATACAAAGAGGAAGGCGTAAGGAGAGGAGGAGAATGAGGTAATCAGTATATAAGCCACGTCTACGGCCCTATGCTGTACATTCTACAAGATTGATGGACTGAACACATCGACTCCAGGTTGAGGGACTGATTACCTCATTCTCCTCCTCTCCTTACGCCTTCCTCTTTGTATTGGACTGATGAAGCCACTGTGTGGCGAAACTTTTTCCTGAATAAAGATTTCCATATGCTGCATAAGCGAGGTAATCATCCCTCAACCTTGAGTCGATGTATTCAGTCCATCAATCTTGAATAAAATACGGCATATCAGCGGAGAAGCAGCTTATAAACCGTATGGCAGGAGAGGTGCAGCAGTCATAGGTCGTGTCACATTTGTTCAATGTGGAAGTAGGTCGTGTCCAAGAATTATGCAAGCGAAGAATTCAGATCCCATTGAACAAATGTGACACGACCTACGACTGCTGCACCTCTCCTGCCATACGGTTTACAAGCTGCTTCTCCGCTGATATGCCGTATTCTATTCAAGATTGATGGACTGAACACATCAACTCAAGGTTGAGGGACTGATTACCTCATTCTTCTCCTGTTCATCAAGTTTCTCCTACGTATGGACTGATGAAGCCACTGTGTGGCGAAACGTTTCCTCAATAAAGATACCCGAGAGTTGCACATGTGTCTAATTTATCAGAGTTAATTTCTGTTCCAAAGTTCCTTAATTTAACCCGTAAACAGTCCAAACGTATATATACGTTTTTTCAACATCTGAAAGTAAGTAAAAAAATGTAGATCTTTTTTTGTTTTACATTTGAAAATGTGTAAAAAAACTTTTACCTACTTTTTTTTTTGTTACATATGAAAATATATTAAAAAAAGTAGATGTACTTTTGTAGCAGTACGAATTTGAACGTCGATTTGTTTGGACCGGGGTTTTTACACAGGAAGACACTAATAATATTCCGGTAATTAATTTTTATAGTGGATCAGAAGAAGATAAATTATGTAACATGCCCTGTGATCTTAATAAAGTTCCTTGTGCTCTAAATCAAGACTTTTATTAAACTACACTGTGATTAAACAGACTATATTCTGCCTGAAACACAATTCCTTTATTAAACAACCAAGTGCTTTACAAAATTATGGAACATTACTAGACTGGACAGGCACCTAAAGTCAGTACCTGATCAGTTGGGCTGTGGTTCATAAATTTGATTCTGTGCGGCCAGCAGTAACAGCCAGACTGATCAGGCCTTGATCCGCCATGAGGCCTGGTCACATACCGGGGCCACGGGGGTGTTGACCCCCGGAGCTCTCTCCAGGTATACTCCAGACCACATTTGGGTCTAAAGACTGTTTTCTTTGTCTCACTAACCTATGACTAGAGGGAAACAGCATAGAGTTCGCTCTACACAGTGTCTTTCAAAGTGATTTTAAACCTGTTATATTGGTAAACAAACCATTCCACGAGTGGGGTTAGAACCCCCGATCAGAGAGTCAACAAACTCCAGACCGACGCATTAGCACTGGCCCGGTGGCTAACGCATCGGTCTGGAGTTTCTTGACTCTCTGAGCGTGGGTTCGAACCCCACCTGTGGAATGGTTTGTTTGCAAATGTGTCATTACGATTTCATGAGCACTGTTAGAAATAATCCCCAGCTCACCTGTTCTGTAGCCAGCAGCACTGAGGTAGGTGGCAAAGCTGCGGCGCTCGTGTGTGTCCTGCCACTGTTGTGATGAACAGTTGTGGTTGTTGGTGTAAACCTGAAAAAACACCGAGAGAGGATTAGACTGGGAGTGCTGTTAGAGCACTAAGGGAAAAAACGATGTAGTAACGTAAACAGCAAGTCAGAAGCCTACTGTTGCAAGCATTGCAACAGTAGGCTTCACCTTCGTGGGTTTCACCTTCGTGGCTTCATATTCCACAAAGACTTTAGATATAAAAGTACATCTTTAATGAGTTGAAAGATAGCTCTAGGCCTTTGGTGTTGCAATCACATCATCAGGAGCTTGCAATGTTGCATAAAGGAGGATGAAATCTGAACAAACACATTCAGAGTGATTAGTCACTCTGAACGAGTTTGATTGGATTTTATCCTCTTTCTTGCAACATTGCAAGCTCCTAATAATGTTAGAGTATCGTGAATTTCCGCTCACCATGAGGCGGGCTAAAACAAGACGGGTTCGATCCCTCGGCTAGTCGCAGTGTTGCTATGGTAACAAGATGCTGCAACTGATATCTGTTCACTGACAAATTGCAATAAAATGTCAATTTGAGAACTGATACTTGTAGTGGTGATAATTGTAGTGGTGATATTTGTAGTGGTGATACATGTAGTGGTGATACTTGTAGTGGTGATACTTGTAGTGGTGATATTTAAGTGGTGATACTTGTAGTGGTGATTACTGTTAGTGGTGATAATTGTAGTGGTGATAATTGTAGTGGTATAATTGTAGTGGTGATACTTGTAGTGGTGATACTTGTAGTGGTGATACTTGTAGTGGTGATACATGTAGTGGTGATACTTGTAGTGGTGATACTTGTAGTGGTGATACATGTAGTGGTGATACTTGTAGTGGTGATACATGTAGTGGTGATATTTGTAGTGGTGATACTTGTAGTGGTGATACTTGTAGTGGTGATACTTGTAGTGGTGATACATGTAGTGGTGATACTTGTAGTGGTGATACATGTAGTGGTGATACTTGTAGTGGTGATACTTGTAGTGGTGATACTTGTAGTGGTGATACTTGTAGTGGTGATACTTGTAGTGGTGATACTTGCAGTGGTGATACTTGTAGTGGTGATACTTGTAGTGGTGGTACATGTAGTGGTGGTACATGTAGTGGTGGTACATGTAGTGGTGATACTTGTAGTGGTGATACTTGTAGTGGTGATACTTGTAGTGGTGATACATGTAGTGGTGATACATGTAGTGGTGATACTTGTAGTGGTGATACTTGTAGTTTTTGAATACATGTAGTTGGTGATACATGTAGTGGTGATACTTTTAGTGGGATACTTGTAGTGGTGATACATGTAGTGGTGATACTTGTAGTGGTGGTACTTGTAGTGGTGGTACATGTAGTGGTGGTACATGTAGTGGTGATACTTGTAGTGGTGATACTTGTAGTGGTGATACTTGTAGTGGTGATACTTGTAGTGGTGATACATGTAGTGGTGGTACATGTAGTGGTGATACTTGTAGTGGTGATACTTGTAGTGGTGATACTTGTAGTGGTGATACTTGTAGTGGTGTACATGTAGTGGTGATACTTTTAGTGGGATACTTGTAGTGGGGGTACATGTAGTGGTGATACATGAGTGGTGATACTGTAGTGGGGATACTTGTAGTGGTGATACATGTAGTGGTGATACTTTAGTGGTGATAAATGTAGTGGTGATATGTGGTCTTGTTGTGGTGCTACTTGTTTGTGGTGATCCTTAGTAGTGGAGATACTTGTTAGTTGTGATACATTAGTGGTGATACTTGTTGTGGTGGAAACTGTAGTGTGATATTTGAAGCGGTGATTACATGTAGTGGTGATACTTGTTGTGGTGAAACTTGTATGGTGATACTTGTAGTGGTGATACTTGTAGTGTGTGATACTTGTAGTGTGATACTTATGAAGTGGTGCTACTTGTAGTCGTGATACTTGTAGTGGTGTAGCATGTAGTGGTGATACATGTTTGAGTGATACTTGTAGGGTATATACTTGTAGTGTGATACTTGTATGGTGATACATGTATTGGTGATACATGTAGAGGTGATACATGTAGTGGTGGTACATTAAGAGGTGAACATTGTAGTGGTGATATCATGTAGTGGTGATACATGTAGTGGTGATACCTTGTAGAGGGTGATACAATGTAGTGTTGAACTTGTTGTGGTGATAGTTGAAAGAGTGACTAACATGTAGTGGTGATACTTGTTGTGCGATACTTGTAGTGGTGATTCATGTAGTGGGTGATACTTGTAGTGGTGATACTTGTAGGGGTGATACATGTAGTGGTGAGTACTTTGAGTGGAGATATTGTAGTGGTGATACTTTAGTGGTGAACATGTAGTGGTGATACTTGTAGTGGTGATACTTGTATGGTGATATTTGAGTAGTGTTATACTTAGTAGTGGGTGTACATGTAGTGGTGATACTTGTAGTGGTGATACATGTAGTGGTGATACTTGTATTGGTGACACTTGTAGTGGTGATACATGTATGTGGTGATACTTGTATTGGTGATACTGTTAGTGTGTGATACTTGAAGTGGTGAAACTATGTAGTGGGTGATACATGAAGTGGTGATACTTGTAGTGGTGATACTTGTAGTGGTGATACTTGTAGTGGTGAGACTTGTAGTGGTGATACTTGTAGTGGTGATACTTGTAGTGGTGATACTTGTAGTGGTGAGACTTGTAGTGGTGATACTTGTAGTGGTGATACTGTAGGGTGATACTGTAGTGGTGATACTTGTAGTGGTGATACTTGTAGTGTGTGATACGGTGTAGTGGTGATACTTGATAGGTGGTGATACTTGTAGTAGGTGATACATGTAGTGGGTGAAACTTGTAGTGGTGATACCTTGTAAGTGGTGATACTTGTAGTGGAGATACTTGTAGTGGTGATACTTGTAGTGGTGATACATTATGGTTATACTTGTAGAGGTGATACTTGTAGTGGTGGTACATGTAGTTGGTGATACTTGTAGTGGTGATACATGTAGTGGTGATACTTGAAGTGTGATACTTGTAGTGGTGATACTTGTAGTGGTGATACTTGTAGTGGTGATACTTGTAGTGGTGATACTTGTAGTGGTGATACTTGTAGTGGTGATACTTGTTTGTGGGTGATACTTTGTAGTGGTGATACTTGTAGTGGAGATACTTGTAGTGGCGTGATACTTGTAGTGGTGATACTTGTAGTGGTGATACTGTAGTGGTGATACAGTAAGTGGTGATACTTGTATGGTGATACTTGGTAGGGTGATACTTGAGTGGTGATACATGTAAGTGGTGATACTTGTAAGGTGATACATTAGTGGTGGTACATGTAGTGGTGTGAAACTTTAGTAGTGTGTGATACATTTAGTTGATATTTTGTATGGAGATACTTGTAGTGGTGCTTACTTGTAGTGGTTGATACTTGTAGAGGTGAACATGTGAGTGGTGATACTTGTGTGGTGATACATGTATGGTGATACTTTTAGAGGGATACTTTGTAGTGGGTGATACTTGAGTGGTGATACTTGTAGAGGTGATACATGTATTGTGGATACTTTGTAGTGTGATACTTTGTAGTGGGTGATCCTTGTAGTGGTGATACAGTTAAATGGTAGTACATGTAGTGGTGATACTTGTAGATGTGATACATGTATGGAGATATTTGTAGTGGGTGATACTTGTAGTGGTGGTACTTGTAGTGGTTATACTTGTAGTGGGTGATACATGTATGGTGATACAATTAGTGGTGATACATGTAGTGGTGATACATGTTAGTGTGAGTACTTGTAGTGGTGATACTTGAAGTGGTGATACTTGGTATGGTGATACATGTAGGGTGATACTTGTAGTGGTGATACTTGTAGTGGTGATACATTAATGGTAAGTACATGTAGTGGTGATACTTTGTAGTGGTGAACAAGTAGTGGGATATTTGAAGTGGTGTAACTTGTAGAGGTGATACTTGTAGTGGTGAAACTTGTGTGGTGAACAATGTAAAGGAGTACATGTAGTGTGATTCTTGAATTGGTGTGATCACATGTAATAGGTGATACATTGTAGGGTGATACATGTAGTGTGATACTTGTAGTGGTGATACTGTAGTGGTGATCACATGTAACTGTATTACATGTAGTGGTGATACTTGTAGTGGTGCTCATACATGAATAGTGTGAATTTAGCGGTGATACTTGTAGTGGTGATCCATGTATGGTGATACTTGTAGTGGTGATACATGTAATGAAGTACATTAGTGGTGGATACTAGTAGTGGTGGATACATGTAGTGGTGATACAAGTAGTTGTGATACTGTAGTAGGTGACTCGCATTGTAGTGGTGATACATGATGGTGATACTTTAGTGTGATACTTGTAGTGGTATACTTGTAGTGGTGATACCTGTATGTGATACGATGTAGTGGTGATACTCTGTAGTGGTGATACATGTCTTGGTAGGTAACAATGTAGTGGTGATACTGTAGTGGTGATACATGTAGAGGGTGATAACTTGTAAAGGTGAATACTTGTAGTGGTATAAGTACCTCCTCGTCTTCAGGGCCAATTGTCCTAGGCTTGGACCAGTTGATCCCTAGGCCTGGGACCATTTACCCTAGGCCTGGGACCAGTTGTTCTAGGCCTGGGACCAGTTGCCCTAGGCCTGGGACCAGTTGTCCCTATGCTGGGACCACGTTGTCCCTAGGCCTAGCCCCATTCCCCCCGCTCCACTGGGGCTCGGATGGGTGAACCTTAAGCACCTTGGGCTGCCACAAACTAATTCGTGAGTAATGGATAGTCCTGATGTCCAGTTTGAGGATTCGAAAATAGGTTGCCACCGTGGAAACCTCTGTTCACAGTAGTAAAAACGCCAGAGTCCAAGCCTGGAGGCTTGCCACCTGTGGAAACCTCTGTACCACATAGTAAACAGAGTCGGCTGGAGGCTGCCACCGTGAAACCTCAGTGCCTCAGGTACAGTACTCTCATCCCCCCACTCCGCTTTTCTTATTCCCATATATCCAGCACAGAGAAATGTATCTCACAACACAATAAT